TATAACCGGCAATAAACAGTGCCCACATTCAACAAGGGTCAACAGAAACTGGTTCACTTTGCGGACAGTTACACTCTGTACTTTATTAAGCCACTTGCTTATCTAATGCTAGGAGGAACTTTCAATTTCGGCAACGGCTTGAATATAGTATATAAACATTCTAAAAGCCCTAAGGCATACTTGAAACATTTGAATAATTTATGAAAACTGTGATCGATTATTAAAATGATTTTCACTAGCAAGAAGAGTAGCCCCACACATTGGTGTGTAGCCGACTGTGCAATACTCTGTTCACTGTACAATTACCGATTAAAGCAGTCGAATAGAGTTTTCATGCTGTCTTGCTGGTCACTCAAAAGCTCTAACCAAAATGCAGGCTTTCAACTGTGACTTTAGGAGGGGATGAGGGTGGATGTGGCCGCAATATTTTCGGTTCGATATTTAGAGAAACTCATTAGTCATTACTCATTAGTCGTCTAGCTGCCAACTTTGGTAATTATGGCTCTAAACGAAAACACGTACATGTAATGTTTGGACAAAACGTCTTAAAAAAACAGAAGTTTTTTCTTCGACCGATTTTCCAATAGGGAAATATGCTATAGTAGTTCGATGTTGATAAGATTTGTTAAGAGCATAGATATCACATAAAAGCAGAGCTTGGCTCAGACAAAAAATATGTATTTTTTAACAAGATTTTAATTTTGTTGCCGCATGATTTCTATGCAACAAAAAGACGGACCTATGCAAAGTTTCATGACGATAGCTTTGACAATGAGAGACTAGGTTGCATAGAAAATGACAGCCGGATATGGCTATATTGACTCGAAGGTTGATTACGAACTACGCGCTACGCACGGGTATTCAAAATAGGTGTCGATTATGATAATGTCATGTCTGCACTTGGTCAAATACAAGGATAACACAAACGCATTGGGGAAAAATAATAATTGACTTATTTCATAGAAACTGTTGCATAATATTGGGAACAGAATATCCAGAATATAGATAAAATGAGAGAAATCACATATCATAGAATATGAAAAATTAGTGTGACTTTATTTTTAGTATTTAACTAAACCTCTAGATCAATATTATTTGTAAAATAAAATAAACAGGTTTTTTTTTATATATAATACTTTTTGTTTTTTCAAATCATAGATACTATATGTATAAAAAGAATTTTATTTAAATTCTCTGTCTGCAAATATTGTACTTAAAATTCATAATTGCTTTTTAATGCACTTAATTTGTTTGCCACCAATAATAAAACTCGAAGAGTTTCTCTCTCGCAGTGCGATCAAAATTTGTCGATGTCATCCGAAGGTAACAATTAAACACGAATACTTAATTGAAAACATTTACAGGTAATGCCGGCGTTGCATACGAGGTTCAAGCCCGCCGAGGAGGGCTGGTCCAAGCAGCACGAGGAAGATCTGGTCGAGCGGACGTTTATGGCAACATTTCCCGCCTTCAAGTTTCCTGATCGCGAGCGCCTGCACGTCAGCTGTGGCGTGCAGCTCTGCAAAGGGAAGTGTCCAAATGTGAGTAGTGTATATATACAGATATGCATGTGTACATACATATATAATACATAGATATATGCATGTGTATGTATGCTTATGCAAAATTAGCTAAGTAACAGACAAGGCCTGGAATGCATATTAATTAATTGCAATGAAAACGAAAGTGTTTTTGCTGTTGCTTGCGTCTTGTTCGTTTCTTTGTTTGTTTGTTTGTTTCTGGGTGCAACGGAGCGTATACAATTTTGCGTGCTTGTGTGTTTGTGTGTGTGAGTGAGTGGAAGGCGCCGCTAATTAATGTGGTTATTGCACCAAAATGCACTGAACTGCAGCCCGCACTTGCAACGCAGCAGGAACAGCAGCATAAGTTGCCCAATATATGTGTATATTATAGTACTTAGATTTCGCTCGGCTTGTGGCTGTGTCAACTAACCAAATCATTAACTTGGTCGCATGCAGCTCAATTGTCGCCTCGCCGAGCAGCAACTGCAGCTGAACGCCGACCAGCACCTGGCGCGCATCGAAGTGTTCAACTCATTGGCCGTGACCGCGCCACAGATCGAAGTGGATCGTCTGCGCTACGATCGGCGCTATAATATGAGTGGTAAGTAGAGTTTGGATGACCTGTGCATCCAGCTGTCGATACCGATTTAACATACATATTTGCTTGGTTGCAGTGGAGGATTATGTGCCGAATGTGCGTCCGCTGGTGGGCGAGGGCACGCTGTGTCTGTCCATCTCAAAGCTGGCAATATCATTCTGCATACTGGGCTCAATCTTCCTGGTTGCTGTGATTGTGGCCATCTTTTCGCTGATACGCACACGTCGACGCCAGCAGGGGCGTTGTGCTGGGTTGGGCTTGGCTGGTGCTGGCACCGCTACCAGCACGTCGAATAGCAGCAGTCGCCTGCACCGAGCCGAAATCTGTACATCCATGTTCTCGTCCAGCAGCGAGTCTGCGCAATCTGCGCCACGTTTTGGCGGCAAGTTTTTGATGCCCTTGCCTTACTATCCAACTACTTTGCCCTATGGCCGTGTCTATTAAGTTTGGAAGTTTGGAATTCATTTGTAACTTTTGTTTCCATTTTGGGCATGTTTTGGTACAACAATTTCTATAGACTGATGTGGCTTCAATCTCAAACATGAAATTCGTTTAACGAATACTCAACGAAAATACCAAAATAAGTTATAACTGCACCATATGATTAGTTGAAAGCGTCTTGAAAGCATTTTACTTCTCGTCGCTAAAATGCGTTTTGATGCGCTTTCATTGTATTAATTTAGTAGTATTAATTTCAAGCACATTCTTTTTTTTTTTTTTGGCTTAGTATACTTAACAGTGCAATTGTAATAAAATTTAAATTTACAAACTATCGAGTCTTTTGGCGGCTGTTATTTAAATTTCGATTGTTTGATATAGATTTGGACAGGTTGGCAGCCTCACGAGCAAACTAGTGCTATTCCGAAATATAGCGATAGCGATAACGATAACATTCAACGGCCAGCTGAACACGAGCACGTTGTGTTGTGCGGTTCTGTGCACTTTGAAAGATTGTTTTTTGTTTAAAGGCCATTTGACGCATAAATCAAGATGACGAAGACACCGCCAAAGGGGCGTAAAAAGCCCCCAACTCGCTACTTTGATGCCGGGGCAGTAAAATCCGAAGACGGCGAAGCAAAACCAGCCAAACTAAAACGCAAGCATCAACAGAAGTTTACAGGTGACTTTCTTAAGATGCAGTCGCATGACAAAAACAAAAAAGTACAGAGCAAAAAGCGGCCAGCGGCTACTGAACATCCCAAAAAGCAAAAGATTCCGCAGGAAGTTTTAGACAAGTATTCACGTGGCGATGCCGTAGACTCGCGGGGTGTCAAAACGCGCCACTTCAAAGAGAAGCAGCAGCGCAAGGAGATCTATTTGGAGTATGCCACAGAACAGGCAGCGCGCACAGAGCTGCTGCTACAAGAGACGGCCGGCCAGCTGGAAGCTGATGAGGAGGAGACTACTGCTAGCTACCGTCAAGAGGAGATTGCGGCCAATGTTGATCTGCAATCGGCGGCCAAACACTTCACACTCAAGCTCGACTTTGGGCCGTACACCATGCGCTATACAAAGAATGGAAGGCACTTGCTGCTGGGCGGGCGACGCGGTCATGTGGCTGCCTTTGACTGGGTGACCAAGAAGCTGCACTGCGAATTCAATGTGATGGAGAGCGTATCTGATGTGCAGTGGCTGCACGTGCCCACCATGTACGCGGTAGCCCAAAAGGAATGGGTCTATTTCTATGACAAAAAGGGCACTGAACTGCACTGCGTTAAGCGGCTATCGCGTGTCAATCGCTTGGACTTTCTGCCCTATCATTTTTTGCTAGCCGCTGGCAACAGTGCAGGATATGCATCTTGGCTTGATGTCTCAATTGGCGAGCTAGTCGGCAATTTCAACACAGGCCTTGGCGACATACGCCACATGCGTCATAATCCGAGCAACGGCGTGCTTTGCATCGGAGGCGGCAAGGGTGTTGTCTCCATGTGGTCACCCAAAGTTCGAGAACCGTTGGCCAAGCTGCTCTGCCATTCCACTGCGATGACAGCGCTCACGGTCGATCCCAAGGGCGTGCATCTGGTCACCGCTGGCTTGGACCGAATGGTAAAAGTATGGGATCTTCGCAATCTAAACGATACGCCGTTGGCGATCTTCCGCCTCCGTCTGCCTGCTAACGAGGTGGAAGTATCGCAGCGCGGCATGTTAGCGCTCTCGCAGGGCACGTATTTGGAGACCTACACGGATGTGCTTCATGGCGGTGGCACTGCCAATAGCAATAAGCTGCCCTATCTGCGCCAGCGTTGTGATGCCTTTGTGCATGGCATGCGCTTCTGTCCATATGAGGATGTCCTAGGGGTTTCCACGGCAAACGGTTTTCAGTCGCTGTTGGTGCCGGGCTCCGGTGAGCCCAACTACGATGCGCTCGAGGATAATCCATACGAGACGAGTAAACAGCGTCGTGAGCACGAGGTGCACGCTCTGCTGGAGAAGATACCACCCGAGCTGATTACACTAGATCCGAATGAAATAACTGGAGTGGATGCGCCCACCCTACAGGAGAAGGTCGATGCCAAGCGGCAGCTCTTCCACCTGAAACCGCCGCGCATCAACATGAAAACGCGCCACAAAATGAAGGGACGTGGCGGCAGCGCTAAGGCGGCACGCAACAAGCAAATAGTTAAGGATCTGCAGCGCAAGGTGCGTAAAATTAAGAATTTCCCTTTCCAGATCATAAATACAATTATTTTCTCTACAGGAGTTTATTTCGGAGGTGCGCAAGGCCAAGCAGGGCATTATCGCCACCCACAAGCATAGTGATGACGGCGACAATGTGCAGCAGGCGTCAATTGGGAAGGCCAAAACGCCAAAACCCGTGCGCTCCGTCTTGGATCGGTTCAAGCCCAAGCCCCAGAAAAAACAGAAGCTCACAAATTGAATATCCGATAGTAGTTGCTTTTATATAATAAATTGTAAAGTTATAATTTCTAAATAACAATATTCACATACTAGGACACTTTTAACTACATAAAGGAAAATAGTTAGTTGAAAGTTGTTCTCAACAAAAACTTATTTAAGAATCGATTTGAGCAGATGTTTACAAAAGAAACATGGAAAGTAGACATTGAGACGTACTTTTTCTAAATTTATAGATCGTATTGTCGAGTGAAATAATTAAGAGCAGATTATTTTTAACACTATTCCTAATGTGACCAAGATTGCTCTAGAGAATATACTGAATCTCGAGCGGAGCTATCTTTGCAAACGTAACTTTAAAAGGCCTTTGTTACTCGAGCTATGTATGAATATTTGGTACGATTGGGGCGCTATATTATACAGCTATCATAGTAACAATTGGACAACAATTTAATTTTTAATCAAATGAATGATAGTCTAATGTATTTCATTAATATGGATTTTTATATTGAATATTTATATTTTTAATGCTTTGTCAACATTCTATGGACTTTCGAGTTTTATATCAAACAATAGCTGGAAACCCCCCAAAATTAAGCCATAATTTTACAATAGGGCATTTGATCTTTGTCAACCGGCAGATAACTTAAAAAAAAAAAATAACGCTAGATTGGCCCAAAACTATAAAGTATGTAAAAAGCGTTTGTGAAGTATATTTAGGAAAACAGCCTGACTGTATACACTGTATAGAAAATGCAGTCGAACTAGATCTTTCGATATCAAGTCATTTAGAACAGTTTACAGCATGGTCTGCGACTAGGGTAAACAGCTGGTTGGCTCTAGCCTCTTACAATTTAAAAGTTTACTTAGAGTTGGCTTTTAGCAGCATCTGACATGCTTCAGTCGTAGCTGAGAATGCATTTGAGGTAGTTGGTCACGCGCTCGGATGCGTTCTTTTCCATTTCCTTGAGAATTGCCTGCAATTTGGCAAGATCGCCAAAATGGCGGGCATAGTAAAATAAGTTCAATATGCGCTTTTGGTTCTCGAAACGGCTCTCCTCCGTGCTGAAGTCGCCTGTCACCAGGAGCTGCTCAATGTTCGCGAGCACCTCGGACGCACTATCCATGAGCGCCGTCATAAAGACGACGTTCTGTTGGCGGCAGAGAGTTGACATGGCTGTCAAAGTAACATCGGCCACACTGGGCTTGAGCAACAGCTGGGGCAGATAGCCTAGAAACTTCGTAAACTGATACTTGCCGCCGTAGCCCTTGTAAAGTTCATTGCGCTGCACAATCAGGCACAGCAGATTGAGCACCTTTGTAGCAACGCCCTCGCGTGTCGTATACTGCTGCCCCACGTACGCGTCAATGCAGTTCTGCATCACAGTGCCCATATGATGGGCCTGAAGCTGCAGTAGTGCCGCACCATTATCCAGCAAGAGGGCGCGCAATGCGGCCACCAGACACAGCTGCTCATCTGTTGTCAATGTGCGCACCTGACGCAAGCATTGGCTTACATAGTGCAGCAGGGGACCGTAGTCGTCCGCCTGTTCGCTATCAGGACGCGGCCAGAAATAGCAAAGGAGCTGCACCAGGCTCAGGTTCTGTGCAATGCACAGTTCCCCGCCAGCAGCTGGTGACTTCATCTTTTTGCCTTTCTTGTGGTTCTGGCTGACCGTCATGGGCGTTTGCTGGTAGGGATAATTGCTTTCCTTAAGGAATATGCGCACAAAGTTGCCTGCATATGTCTGCCGCATCCAGTCGCTCAGTTCGTGCGTGCTTTCCTGCTGCGTGCTCTCGTACTGGCGCACAAGTTGCCACAGCTGTGTCATGATGTTCAGCAGCACGTGCAAACTGGCTGCGGCATCAGCATTGAGCAGCTGGGTCTGCTGCTGCTGTTGTGGTCGCACCTCCATCCAGTTGTCGTGCAATAGTGGCATAAGCTGCTCCACATAGCTCATAAGCTGCTCGTCCTCGGCTTTGCGTGCTTTTTCTCCTAGAATCGTGTGCAAATCCCGCCTGTCGATTAACGGCGGACGCACCACATTGTAATACTGTGGCGTCGCGGCATCATATTGGACGAAACGTGTTGGTGGCCGGGCATTGTTGTCGCTCTTGCTTTGCTGCAGTAGCGTGCTGAGAATTTGCTGCAGGCGCAGCAGCACCTTGGTCCGCCACTTGATCGTCGTCAGCTGTCCCTGACCCTGGCCTATGCGCACAGTGAGCAGGCGATTAGTGTGCTGGGTATCGTGGCGCTGCCGTGATATCATGTCAATAAAGTTGCTGATAATGGTGCTGGCACTGCGTTCGGCCAGCAGGCGGGATGGCACGCGCTGCAGCAGCACGTCCAACAAGAGCAGCGAGTCCTCCTGTATAGTTGGCTGCACATGCGTCATGGCACAGCGCAAATAGGCAGCAATGATGTGAAAGAATGGCGCAACGGCGTCAACGGGCAAAGCCTCGAGTAGCACATCTAGTGTTTTATAGGATTCGCTTCGCACATCGCGCTCCATGTCCAATGCGCCGGCGGCAATTCCCTGCAGCAGCTCATTAAGATGGCCGATAAGATGACTGGCTTGACCGGCTTTGACGGCGTCGCGTACGTTGCGCAGTGCATCCGTGCGAAACTTGAGGTTGTGATGCTTTAGTCGGGATAGAGCCTCTTTCAAATTCAATTGGCGTTGGCCGTTATTTGTTGGTAGGTAGGACTCCTTCAGCTGTTCGCGTATTTCAATTTTGCGCACCTTAAAGTCTGTCTTGGTCACATTAAGACCCTTGGGTAGCTTGGCACCTTTCAATTTCACTTTGGCCTTTTCGGCACGTATATTCTTTTTGTGATGTCCACCCATTTTATGAGAAGATTAAATTTACAATTTGAATTAAAACATGTGCTGCAGCCGACACGGTTGTTCGAATACAAAATAAGAAATAGTCGACATATCGATATTTTCCAGAGTTACAGTGATCAAAAGTGCTTCCATTTTTGCAATGCTGCCAACTCACTGCATTTTTGGCCACCTCTGTATGATGAACGCGCGTAATTTAAATGATTGCGTTTGAATGCTGCTTAGCTCAGTAATCTGGCGAACTGGTCCTTGGCGCCGTAGCGCTTGTACAGTTTATGGCGAAGAGCAATTAGGTACAGCAATTTGGACGCATCCACGTACGCCTCAACACAGTTTTGTCCCATAGCGGTCATTTGATGTGCCAGCATCTGCAGCAATGCCGCACGAATATCCATTAACAGGATGTGTAAATGTGCACTTTGCGCGCGTAATTAAAATGGATGTACACTTAATAGGAAAGTTTGACTTAATCTGATTTAAGTTGTACTGTTAATTGAAAGGCGTGTCCTTTATGACTCTGAAAGGTGATGCCAATTATTTAATGTATTGTTGTCCAGCACATCCTGTGTGCTCGCTAATTGTTTGCGCTTTACGGCCTTTTTATCAATCAATTAATCAGGGTGTGTTTTATAGTCTGTTTTTCTATTAGCTTAAAGCGCTACCAAATATAAGTCGCTTATTTAATTACCGCTGGCGACCGTTTCAAGGTCAACTGGTCGGTCGGACGCTTGGTTATCTTCTCAGAATGCTGAGCGGGTTCAAAGTGTGTGCATTAGCAATTGCAAGGCATGTGGTAGCAAGTAGTAGCAAGTATCGCCCACAGCTTGCCAGCAAATCGCATTCCGGGCATAAATTAATATCAGTTGGTTGTGCAATGAGCTTGCATTTCTTGTTAGCGTTAAGTTAAGCACATTAAAAGTGCAAAAAGGTAACGTGAAGAGACAGCTGTTCTCACTTACCGCAGGTGATGACACATTAGGCTTTTGGCGAATTTAGATCGATGCATATTTCATATAAATACAACCGATTTTCAATATTTAAGCAGCATATAATTGAGCCTGCCAACTTAGTGTTAAATAATGAACCCCCTTGGTCAGGGCTGCCAGGCAGCTGGACGCGTTCACACAGGCGCAACGCAACCATTACAGCCTACTTGGGGCTGTACCAAGGGCGTCACAATGAAAGTTTAAATTTTTGATGGTTCCACACGCGCCTGTGTTTGCGGCAATAAAAGAGATAACGCCAACCGACACGTCAGACAGCAGAGTTGCACAGATTCACGCTCCCGACTGTAACAACAATGTTTAAACCAAAACAACGGCCAGCAACAAAAACAAATTACACAGTTGCGTCGTAATTGATGGCAACTCTGTTCACCTCGTTTTGGCGCGCTCTCCAGTCGGTTTGCTCGTGGCCGACCGACCGCCTGCCAGCGTCAATTCGCCGCTTCAGTTGTAATCGAAGTTTGAACCTGCGCGGTCGTGCTCTTTTTACGCCTGGCTGCGCCGTTTGCCGCTGCCAAAAGCGTTCAATTCGTAAAGTTTGTTGTAACTGGCAAAGCCAAAAATTTATAAGACGCTTTTTTTTATCGTTATTGTTGCGTGTGTCGAATTTTTTTTTTTCGTTTGTTTCATACATTTTTTTGCGTGAGATTTATTTGTTTCGCTTAATGGTTGTTGATATTGTTGATACTTAAACATAAATATGCCTGCAGAGTTTGTTGTTGTTTTGACGGCAGCAGCAATGTAGCAGCCCAACAATAACAAATTGCCAAATTATTTTGTAATTCATAAACAACAACAACAGCAACAGCAACAACAAAGTGTGCACAAAGTGCGCCGAGCAGCAGCATCACCAAACGTCAGAGGCAACAACAATAAGACAATAAGAGCAACAACTAGTAGCGTCGGCACATGCATGCAACAGCTGCAGCTATAACAACAACAACAAAAACAACAACAGCAACAACACAGAGCCAACCCAGAAGCTTTTGAGCCGGCGCTGACAACACGCCGTCTGCGTCGGCGTTCCAAGCTTTTGCCTAAACATCAAGAGGCCGCCGCTGCTCACATTTATATATACATACATAAATTATCTCAGCGCAATTGGCTTTTACCGTGCTAGCAGGTAAGCTGTGAGCTTTGCTTTGCTTCATTATTACGAATGTGCAGCATCATTATCATCATAATCGTTATTATGTTCATGATTTTCGCAGTTGGCGCTAAATGCATTTAGCCAGTGTTCAAAAGTTAAATTATGCATATTCATATACACATAATTATATATGTATGTACATCTATGTACGTATTGCATTTCCCGCTGGGATTTTTCGTTGGAAAACGCTGCAGAAAATGCTGCTGATGCATTGAATCTCATAAACTCTGTTGCAATGAAAGCAAGAGCTTGGTCCAGAAGAGGGACGGAGGGGCACAGACTTTTGTGTGGCAACATTCAACGAATCCCAAAAACTATATGTGTATATATTCTTGTGGCCGTGGCACCTAGTGTCTGGGCTATTGCGCAAAGTCATGCTTTTTGTGGCGTTTTATCTTGAATAATCTGTGTCGTTAACTTTGTGTGTGGCAGCCGCAAATGCTGCAGGCAAGTTTATCTATAATAGTACCTGATTATTTCGTTTTAAACTTGACCCCCGGAACAGAAAAAGAATAGCTTCTATGATTCATACTCGATTTGCGTGATTGACATCTCGAGAGCTCAGAACCCTGCTCTTCGATCTCTAAACCATTTACATGTCTCGGGAAATAACAATCGCGCTACCAGATTTGCATATCTTTAAGCTCACAGCTGAAGGCTACGAATGAGTCAGCTTCGATTTGTGGACACAGCTGCGACTCGATTACGCTGTCCTCTTCAACTCTGTGAATTATAAGTTTGTCAAGAAATGTGCTCGACCCCATTAACTATATATATTTATGTATATATTCTCGATCAGTATCACTAGCCCAATGTCCATTATGGACATATCCATCTGACAGTCTGTCTGTTTCTAAGCAAACTGTTCTCCTTATTTTAAAGGTTAATTTGCTGTGGAGAGTAGAGAGAGACCATAGGAACGATTAGTTCTCAAATGAAAAACTCAAGATGTCTTATGTCTGATGTCAAGACGTCGTGTTTATCAGATTCTGTATAATCCCAAAATATTATCAAAATCTGTGTGCACAACTTTTATTGTTTTGTCATATAATGACCAAATTCAGCTTCACTATTTTCCTAACATGTCTGCAAAACGTGTCAAATCGTACTAAGTACAATATCATATGACTCCCATAGGAACAATCGCTTAGAAACAATATTTTCGTATAAAATCACCTCCGAGCCATATGTCGTTTAGCGGTATTTCAATTTCTGCGTGCCATTCCGCACTGTTCATATTTGTTATGCTCTGAACCCATTGAAAACGGGCAAAGGGGTATAATGTTTTTATGTAAATTTGTTTAGCAGGCACAGGAAATTAATCTCGACCCCATAAAGTTTATATGTTCTTGATCAGAACTACGAGCTGAGTTGATCTAGTCTTCCCCTTTTATGTGAAAACATCGATCTAAGAAACTAAAAAAGGTAGAGACTTGAAGTTGAAAATATAGATTTTTTTGTTAGTATTCTTTCCAAAATATCAATAAGAATCAGATTGGGACCAAGTTTATTAAGCATTACTTGAATATTTTAAGATTTGAATACACCGAAAAGTATGTCTATTGCCCTGAAAATTTGTTAAAGATCGGACAATAAGCACCGACACTATCCAAGGATATATTCACCATATTAAGCTGTATAGCTACTATAGGGAATCTCCTAGTCTGGCACTCTTGACTAAATCACTCTATTGTTTTCTCCTCTATTATCTATGCATATATTTTTCATCCCGAAACTCCTTTTTAGATTTCCTGGTATTTAAGCTTGAAATGTGAAAAATAATAATAACAAATTTTATGTTATGCCTCACATTCTTTTCGCTCATTTGATGGAAGCTGCGACAGTCGAAGCCACGTGTTTCATGCCTGTTTCTATCTATCTTTTTGCCTTGGGACGATTTTCGTTTTATTTTTATTCACTGTTTCGGTTTTGGGTTTTGTGGCCGCTGTTTTTATCAGCGATTTTGGCACATCGAGAGACGGAAGAAGAAGAAGAAGACGGAGCAGTAAACGCTGAGATAAAGAGACCAATGCTGAGAGCCAGAGCCAGAGCCAGAGCCAGAGCCACAGCCGGAGTCATGTTCCAGTTTCCGCCTGACTCCAAATGATGTCATGTGTCTTGGGGCACTGCAAACGAATTTCGCTCGCACCGAAGAAAATCTGACGAATAAAACAAAAATAATAACAACAAATAATAGTGCTCTAGTCGGGATTGCCTGACTACAAGGTACCCTACACCGTGTGCCGAGCAACCTTTACAAATTTTCTAGCTTCCTTGAAAATCGGAGTTGTTTATATCCAGTGTTTGTAGGGCATTAATGCGGCACCCAAGCGTCTGTATATAGCGAAACGTAGGGGTCTACATCTTTAAATTTGTTTATCCAATTTGGGGTAAAAGCTATCGATATTATGAATGTAAGTCTCTCATTTTTGTAGTTTCTCAGATCGGCGCGTTCACAAAGCTATGTAGACAGACAGGCATTAGTCCTGATCAAGAAATTATTTACTTAATATTGTCTGGGATACTTTCTTCTGCCTGTAACCTACATTTTCACCGAAACATGATACCCTTTCCTAAACATTTTCTATGTTATAAAAACATAATATAAAAATATAATAAATAAAGTATCGTGCCAAGTCTTTGCTGGCACTTCCTGTGCTTTTTAATTATTTTTTCTTTATTTTTGCAATATTTTTATCAGTTAACCTATGACTTTAAATAACTATTATACTGCTCCCCAGAGACTTAGCTAATTAAAGTTTAGTAATTATTTTATGTGCTCGCTCACGTTAATACAATACATATACATATATGTATGCCTGTAAACATATTAACAAACTGTTTGTTGTCGACAAACGTTTCCGTAACGCAGATAAAAACGCGATAGCCAACCAGACAATCCATTCTACATTGCATCCATCTATCTAGTATCTAGTATACAAAGGCATATACATATGCATACATATGTATATGTATATCTGTACATTCAGTTATCTCGGCCAGTTAGTCAGATAAGTATACGCTCAATTATAGATGCTTAATAGATTAACTTACTTAATGTTGTTTAAATCTATTCAGTCTACATTTTATTTCTGACAGTTACTATTATACCATACTCCCATTAAAATCGATAAATATCGATATCAAATCTGCCTTATTAATGCTGAGCTCGGCGATAATTAGAGCGCGTGACACCAATTTCGGTAAAACGGATTCTGTATATCACACAAAGAGAATACGTTATTTTTCCTTCCCAGCTACGCTTTGCTTCGTTTTCGGGTGCTTGTGAGTGTAACTGTGTTTTGCTCATGCATATGGCAAATCTCCAAATCGGGTATGTTGCTTGAATTCGTATTTACAGGTATGCGTTACCCAGCTTTACCCTTCTTGAATTTGCCGAAAGGGTCAGCTAGGCACAAGTTTTAGTTTTTTTTTTAAATTGGTTTTCCACTCATTCTTTAACCCTTGGACTAGATTCTCCAAAATCGTCGAAACAACAATTGATGATTTGTTTATGTAGAGCATTTGAAGTGATTTTTCCCCAAGTTATTTTAGAACAAGCTAGTTGATGGGATGCAATAAGAATAATACGTAAGATGCCGCCGAAATATCCTGAGTACTCCTGTTGCCACTAGAACAGCAAGTATATTTGTGGCTTGATCTTTGTAGCAGATTCCATAAGGTCAGGTTCATGACTAAGGCTCCAAAAATATCTGTCGTGGAAATATAAGTTAGACATATTTTAATAGATATGCCTAGCTTGGAGTTTCTAGCTTAAATAGCAAGAAATAAATAATACTGAAATTGTGTAAAATGAATATAAAAAAATAATTATGAGAATAGAATATTTATATTATTAAATATGTAATATAATGAATGTATTAATTATTCCTTAATAGTTGTGCTTTCAATAGAAAATATTTACTTTAAACATCTTGCTATGGCTTATATGACGTTTTATATAGGATACATTTTGAACTTTTTCTTTTACCATCCGATCGACAAAAAACCCATTTTTAAAATTTGTTCTGCAAATGTATTTGATATGAATTTCAGCAAAAAAAATTGGGCCGAGCAAAGCCGGTAAATACCAAACCGCCAGCTCAATAACCAGGCTTAAAATAATTGCGTATACATCAGTGGAGCGTACGATAAGTCAGTGATCCGAGAAATAAAAAGAAAATATCATTTTGAAGTGCAATTTAGTTATTTCTAAAATGTAACCAACATAAAATATTATTTCTTACGGCCCAATCTCAACTATTTCACCCACAAAAAGGCGAACCACAATTGTTCATCAGCTGAGCCCTAAAGAGAACTGGTTTTAGCTAATGCACAATGTGTATGACTCAACACAGCTCTTAACTTGATGCTACTTTCGCTGAATCAGTGTAACAAGTTCTAGAAGTCTTAACAATATTGGCCGCGGGCTTGTCGGAGCTATCAGTCGCCCGATGGGGCGACTGTAATGCTCCCTCCCCTGAGTGCACCTTTTGGGAAATGCTTTATTGGGTAGCTTTGGGGCTTTTTGCTTGATTGTTATGAAATGATCCGGGTTTAAATATGTCATCCAATTGTGCAGCTTTACTAATGCGCAAGTCTATGCCTCTTTAACTAATTGTTGTTAGATTTCGGGAGGAATAGGTTTGAGGTATTCAAAGAGTGAATAAATCCTAATCTGTGTATACTTATCGAATAGAGTTTAATTAACTCTTACTTATGTTTTCTAATTTGTATTTTCTTAGGACTCTTCAATTGCCATCTATGACTTTTGCCATCTCACTTAATTGTACATCACTCAAGTAACTCGATCGAAATATCTCGCAGTTAATTATTACAAATGAATTTGTCTAGACTCGAATCTCGGGCTGAAATGCATATCGCTCATGTACTACTTATAGACCATACATCCATATCGCACACGATGCACCATCATTATGGAATACGTGTAGGTACATGTATGACTAATGCTC